ATGGTGTTTAACATTGTTCCCTGAGTAATACCAACCGGTGGAAACTAACGATTTTAAATTGGCTCACTACTTGACTAGCCTATTGGTCCCAAGCAAATCGATTAACGTACCCCATTCTAGTCAAAATTCTAGTACTACACTATGTTTGTTTTGATTAGCTATGAAAGTTTGACAGATAAAGTTAGGGGTTCGTGGATTTTCCTATGTCTCGAGGGGTGCATCGATTAGCTTGGGACCGAAGATAGTACCAGAGCTGAGCCAAAAAGTTGAGCACGTTTCTTCGTCACCTACTAGTCTTAGAGTTACCTCTATGGTAATACCACAGACAAACAGACATAACACATTGAATATTTCTCACTGTAAAACCATAGAGGTAACTCTAAGACCACTGGGTCCCGAAGAAAATCATTATTATTTTTGGCTCACTCAGTACCAGAACAACGGTCCCAAGCAGACCCAAGTTATTTCACTCACCCCTGCATGTTCTGCATGAATCCACACACTCCTGATGTTATCTGTCAAACTTTCATAGCGAATCAAAACAAACATAGTGTAGTAATAGAATTTCAACTAGAATAGGGTACGTTAATCGTTTGCTTGGGACCAATAGGCTACTAAAGTGGTGAGCCAATTTAAAATCGTTAGTTTCGTATTGATTGTTGGTAAAACATCGTCGCTAAAACATTACCGCCATCTGTTGAATACACTGTGGTAGGTAGTACCAACAATCAATACGAAACTAACGATTTTAAATTGGCTCACCACTTTAGTAGCCTATTGGTCCCAAGCAAACGATTAACGTACCCTTCTAGTTGAAATTCTATTACTACACTATGTTTGTTTTGATTCGCTATGAAAGTTTGACAGATAACATCAGGGGTGTGTGGATTCATGCAGAACATGCAGGGGTGAGTGAAATAGCTTGGGACTGCTTGGGACCGTTGTTCTGGTACTGAGTGAGCCAAAAATAATAATGATTTTCTTCGGGACCCAGTGGTCTTAGAGTTACCTCTATGGTAGTACGCTGAACAGATGGCGGTAGTGTGTAAACGTCAAACGCAAGGGAATTGACTATGCGTGCCACAGGTGCCGGTGCTACCAACTACGATACTTTTAAATGGACCGTTAAATGCTTGTTCGATGAACAACTTGCTAGAGTTATGTCTGTTTGTCTGTGGTAATACCAACAATCAATACGAAACTAACGATTTTAAATTGCCTCACTACTTGACTAGCCTATTGGTCCCAAGCAAACGATTAACGTATCCCATTCTAGTCAAAATTCTAGTACTACACAATGTTTGTTTTGATTCGCTATGAAAGTTTGACAGATAAAATGAGGGGTTAGTGGATTTTCCTATGTTTCAAGGGGTGAATCGATTAGCTTGGGACCGAAGATAGTACCAGAGGTGAGCCAAAAAGTTGAGCACGTTTCTTCGGGACCTACTAGTCTTAGAGTTACCTCTATGCTATTATATAGTTGCTCTTTGTTCGTTGCTAGCAGTTCGTTGCCTTTTGTTGCTACGGTGCAAGATGTGTGAAGTAAAAAACACCATCAAGTTTAGCTTCAGCCACCATGATGCTAAACCAAACATCGGAGAGATTGTAAATTTCGCCAAAGCACTCGACGCGGATTCGGCTGAAATGGAAGCAGTTTATCGCATTGGTGAGGAAAGGGGAGTCTTCATGAAGTTCAAATCAGAGGAAGCGATGCTCCATGCTCTGACATTCAATTCGGAAGATTTAATCTTCCATTATGCGAATGGAACGACGGCAAAGGTACGCATGTCGCATGCTGGTGAATTCATTCAATATGTGCGTGTGTTTGATTTGCCACCAGAGGTACCCGACAACGAGCTGGATAAAGTGCTGGAGAAATATGAAAAAATTAAACGCATCATCCGGGAGAAATTTCCAACTGATCTGTGTTTTGAGGTATAAACAGGAATACGCGGTATATACATAGAGGTAACTCTAAGACCACTGGGTCCCGAAGAAAATCATTATTATTTTTGGCTCACTCAGTACCAGAACAACGGTCCCAAGCAGTCCCAAGCTATTTCACTCACCCCTGCATGTTCTGCATGAATCCACACACCCCTGATATTATCTGTCAAACTTTCATAGCGAATCAAATCAAACATAGTGTAGTAATAGAATTTCAACTAGAATAGGGTACGTTAATCGTTTGCTTGGGACCAATAGGCTACTAAAGTGGTGAGCCAATTTAAAATCGTTAGTTTCGTATTGATTGTTGGTATATATATGGATGTGAAGAAGGAAATCCCCACGTCATTACATTTCTTCAATCGGAAAGGAAATATATTTTATGATCGCAACAAAGATAAATGTTTTCTGTGCAAGGCGGACGGACACCGGAAGCTTTCCTGCCCCAAGCGGAAGGCTCGGATGGAACCGGAGAAGCAACTTAAGGAAAAAGGAAAGCAGCAAAGTGAAAGAAAACAAAACAGCAGCAGTATGTATGCTGGTGTAGTGGTGGAAGGTGCGTCACTAGTCATTAGCGACCAGGACACGGGGTTGGAGATGTTGATTGAAAATAACGAAATGGACGTGACGACCCCGACGACCGACGACAGTAGCGGCAACAATCAATACGAAACTAACGATTTTAAATTGGCTCACTACTTTGCTAGCCTATTAGTCCCAAGCAAACGATTAGCGTACCCCATTTTAGTCGAAATTCTAGTACTACGCAATGTTTGTTTTGATTCGCTATGAAAGTTTGACAGATAAAATGAGGGGTTAGTGGATTTTCCTATATTTCGAGGGGTGAATCGATTAGCTTGGGACGGAAGATAGTACCAGAGCTGAGCCAAAAAGTTGAGCACGTTTTTTCGGGACCTACTAGTCTTAGAGTTACCTCTATGGTAGCGGAGAGCATGCAACGGGAAACGACGTTCAGAAGCAGCAGCAGCGATCACGATTCGGGTTCAATGAAAATGAGGAACAAATTCGGGAAAGAAAGAAGTTGCGTGCACGGGAGAAGATCGCTTCGTCGCCGCTTCGATCGCCATCCAGAAAAATCCTATAATAAAATACATTTTTATTTCCTTTTTTTTGTACTTTGAGTCCCACAATTGGTATTCCATGTTACTCGGCTCCGCTAAGTTATTTTTATAATATTTGAGCCTGCCCAATAAACGAAATGAAAAATCACAGTGATTACTAGCTCATATTGCTATTAAAGTTACTTCTTCTTCTTCTTCTTATTCGCGTTTTCAAGCTTATTGCACTTCCACAGTTATTAATTGAGAGCTTTCGATGCCAATACCAATGCATGAATTTATATCATTGTGTGGCAAGCACAATGATATTCTATGCCCAGGGAAGTCGAGAAAATTTCCAACCCGAAAGATTCCCTCGACCGGTCCGGGAATCGAACCCGCTGCCTCCGGCTTGGTAATACCAACAATCAATACGAAACTAACGATTTTAAATTGGCTCACCACTTTAGTAGCCTATTGGTCCCAAGCAAACGATTAACGTACCCTTCTAGTTGAAATTCTATTACTACACTATGTTTGTTTTGATTCGCTATGAAAGTTTGACAGATGTGTGTGGTGGTGTGTGGATTCATGCAGAACATGCAGGGGTGAGTGAAATAGCTTGGGACTGCTTGGGACCGTTGTTCTGGTACTGAGTGAGCCAAAAATAATAATGATTTTCTTCGGGACCCAGTGGTCTTAGAGTTACCTCTATGGTAATACCGTGCCTTTACTGACTACGCTATGAGGCCCATTAAAGCTACTTGTACCAAGGAAATCCTAAAAATATATTCACTCTACCGATTAAATTCATCTAAATCAGTTAGAAATGTTGATGTCAAAACTGCATAAGAATTATTCTCATGAGTGTTTGATCATTGGAAAATGACAGAAAGCTAATGATCGGTCGTTTCGTCTCGTGATAGTGAGAGGACCTGCTTTCTCATTGTCACATGACGGCCGTGATATTTACCAGTTCTGGTCGTACCTATTTCCGGAACTTACCTGATGCTGGATATAGCTCGGGATCAGATCGAATCTGAAGGTTTCTGATTAGCGCGCACGACCGATATATTTGCCGGAACACGGACAATTTGATCGGAACGTCGGATACGAACGATGGGAACACGGATGCACAGATGAAAGCAGCAACACGGCCACTCAGTGAAAGCAAGCCTAGAGGGAAAACTAGGTCACTGGTTTATCATTCTAAGTTTCTAACTCCGGAACTTACCTGAAGCTGGATCAGATAGGAACAGAACATTCCTCAAGAGGACGGACACGGACAATTTCAAAGAAATTAATATCGTGTTGATTTTTTAAATCAACATTGAATTTGATATTTCCTTAAGTGCGTCAAATATGGTGCCTTACGGTAGTTCGTTTTATACGACATGTAATTCCTTCGTAGGAGGATGTACCTGAAATCAGGCACTGATGGCTACTTCTTACAGTAGCTTATCACTCTGATAAGGTAAACAGTAAAAAGAGGGTATTGCAGTATCGATCAATAAGTGGTCGGAGTAGTTACGAGCCCAACAAAAAATAAAATAAAAATAAACATCATCTCAACATGAGCATTTTATTCTGCCAGTACGGTACTTAGTAAAACATAAATGGGTGTGTTATTATTGCCGTGAATGAAAAGATTTACTATCACTGATTATATATCTATTTTTAATGTTGTGATAGTGGAAAAAGTAGCATTATCACTGCCTCCGTGAATCAATGATATTTATCAGCACTTATCAACAATAGTAATACGTAATGTTCCATAGTACACATGAAACCGCGTGATACTAATTGTCTCTTGCGAATACTACTTTATTACCTAGTTGTTGAGGCTTCTTTTCAATAGCTACGCTCGAACTAATATTTTACTTGTGTTTTTTGCGTTCAGCTATGTACATCCATACTGCCCTGCTATGTGGAAGCACCGGCTATCGGGATGCCCCCAGTTTCCATATAAGCTGTTGCTATAGCTACTTACTAATGCTTCATTCATAAAAGTGAAAGAGATAGAGAAAAATAACTGGTTTGATTGGCATCAAACAGCTGATAAATAAAAGCCTTGGCCGGGAGAATCGCAAATTCAGTCTTGATAAAGAGCAGTTTGCGAAAATGACCACGTCTGATTACACCAGCGACATATTGCGCCCATTATCTCGCCAGGAGTTAAGTGATTTGAAGGATCTGTATTATAAGCATTGCCCACTGGAAATACAGTTCTATTTTTTAATTAAAAACCAGCTCGAATGGGACGAAAAATTAGAAAAGTTAAACAGAAAGCAGTCAATATGTGCAAGGGCATATTTGAAATTTTATTCGCCACGGTTTGTAAACCCGAAAGAAACAGGAACATTCGTGGCGATAACATGTGAAGAATATCCGAGCGTGTATTTCCATTCGTTACGTGAAGGGCCTAGTCAACTATTAAAGTACTTAACCGATACCCAGCGAATCAATTGGTCCTGTCATCCTGTATTGTGTAGCATAAGTGATCAGCATATGGAAATTCTGGATACATTACTGAAGCAGGTCAATTGTGTAGGCGAACTGCTATCCGATTGCTCGTACTACATGATAACGAACAACCAAGCTGCGAGCTTTGAATATGAGTGAGTTTTCTGATAAAAATGTATTAGTGCTTGTCAATTAATGTTATTCTGTTCCAGGGTTCCATCAGATGTAGTTATTAAAGAACTTGATCCTGCTTACGGAAGTTTAATGAACGAACGGTGGCCGCATCGTTATCCTAACTCGGAAATGTACATCAAACTACTGATTGAACTGAATGGTGGTTTGGGACTATTCAACAAAGACAGCGACGATATTATAGGCTGGGCGTTGAAGAATGAGTTTGCTGGTGTTGGGTAATATTTTACTGGCAACATAGACCGTGGATAAGTGAGAACAACACTTGAAAATATTATCATAGTAGTAGCGATTGTCGGCAGACCCAATATAGGTACCCGATCCAGGTTGGATTGGATTATTATTATTATTATTTAACTTTATTAGAGAGGCTTTCAGCCTTGGGCTGGTTCGCCTCTAGGTTGGATTGTAACTGAATCAAAAATTAGTTCGCTATAAGTTTTACTACATGCAGAGCTGATAATAGCGTATACAATAGTGCTGTTTCCACTTACCCCACGTTTCCATTCCTTCTGTGTAATAATTACCACCATAAGGTATAGGTACAATAATCCACATTCTGTTTTAATAGGGGAAATGTCGGCTTCGGCAATACAGTCAGGCGAGTAAAGAACGAACTTGAGAGCTCAATTTTAGCATGTGGATACATTGTGTTTCAGAGCATCTATTGGTCAGGTTAAGGTATTGCCGAAGCCGACATTTCCCCTATTCAAATTATCCTAAAATCCAAAATTTTCAAAAACTCAGGTTTTGCCAAAAGATTTCTGTCTTGATTAAGAACCGCCCTACACTCTAAAAAATCTTCACGTCCGATTTACGTGAAATATCATATATTTAGAAAATCTCAAATGTTACGTGACGTAAGTAACTTTGGCCTGCATTACACGTCATTAAACGGGAAATGTCGAGCTGCACGGTGGTGCCCATCTCGGCAAAAAATCTAAGTGTGTGGATCAGATCAAAAATGAATTAACAAAGTAACTTGGAATTGACTTGAACGCCTTGAAAAAAAAAACTATGCCTTATGCTTCATGTGCGAGTGGAAACACTTCAGGAAGACTAGATTAACTTTCCAAAACTCCACCCAGTGCCGTAACTGCCAGGCGGCAAAGGCGCAGCTGTAAAGCAAGACCATGTTGGAGGCAGTTAGGTTAGATTGGGTTTTTCTTCTTTCAGACATTATTGACGGAATACATTTTCCATACTATTTGTTTTACCACTTCGCAATCTCACGGGCACACATCTGGCGATCTACTTAATGAACAAATTTCAAAATTAATCTATATGTCTGCTGCAGAGCAGCAAGCACCTCATTTAATTTTGAAAACGCGAAGTGGAGGAATTCCATGAACCTTCACCTTAACACATCATTTCAATAACACCTGTCTAGCCAACGCCAAACGAAAATGAAAATGAAGCACGTTAAGAATGAAAGGCTAGCTGTGGATTTTTTTTGTCTTGCTTTGCTCACTTCCTTTCAATGGAAGTCGATTTTCGAGTTGAAACGAAGCATCAATTGGCTTTCAATTCCTTTCACCGCCGCTCTGTCACCTACTCTTTCAATGTATTTAATATGTGTTATGCCTTGTTTTCATTAAATTTCAAATATGTGTCTGGAAGATAAATTAAACATATTACGTGTAATCTTCAAGCAGAGGCGCGAGGAATGGGTGGGACAGATGGTACATATCCTACACACAAAAATACCTGGGGAGGACAGCCAAGGCTTTGTCCCACACACGATTTTATAGGGAACATAATTTTAAAAAAAAACGGCGCCGGTGGTGTAGTGGTAAGCGTGATTACCTCTCACCCCAGCAGGCCTGGGTTCAATCCCAGTCGGCGCAGCCGGGATGTTCTGAGGCATAACATCTCTGATCACGCCTTCCTTCGGATGGGAAGTAAAGCTGTTGGTCCCCGGTTTATGAGTTGATGGGTCGATAGGTAGGGTCCAGGTGTGGGAGCTGCCTTCCTGGCACGTCGGTAGCATTGGTGCTCAGCACGGAAAACAAGATCGACGGAAAAAACAAACCAAAGGAAAAAAAAAATAATTAAAAACGTTAAATTATCCTACAATGTCAAAATCTGACCCTTCTTACTAATATAGAAATTCCGACTAAAGTGCTCATACGATGAGAAAAGATAGATAAATTCACATGTGACTTAAGGTAACACATGATGTATTTTAACCCTAATTAGCTAGAAACTGGGGCCGGGCATTCCCGGAACACGGCCGGATGTGCGAAATGTTTTAAATATATCAAGCTGAACAATGCATCAGGTCCTAAGTAACATTGACAGATTCTCTTCGTCGGTTTTCTTTTTGCATCTCCATGGCCAAGTTAAGACATTTCCAGCTATATCAAGTACACAGATCGATGAAAGAAGCTATTATCTAGCATCTAATATGTCAAAAACGACAAGAAACGGTTCTGTACTCAAGTTATTAACGAAAGAGAAAGTCGATGAAGTGAATCGATCAATGTTACTTAGAACCAATTGTTCAGCTTGATATATTTTCATTTTCCGTCACATACGTCATGAAAGGTCGGTTGATGTACCTCATGTAAGACGAACTGAACGCTCTTTCACTGCTACACCGAAGCTTGAAAGATATACGAATGAAACGATGGGAGAAAGAGAAACAAACTATAGAAAATAAATGGCAACCTTTTCTTGTAACTTACAAGTCATCAAATCCTCATCATAACATCAAATGAATTCATAATTCTGGAAAACAATTTTTTATAGCAAAAAAATAGCATGCTTGCTTAACTGATTCATTTCAACTTTGTAGTCAATTGGTTACCCATGATGACTTCTGTACGTTTATCATAGAGCTGATATTTATGCATTGGTTGGCATAGAAAGCTCCCAATTAATAACTGTGGATGTGTATATAGAAGACTAAGTTGAGAGCCAGCAAAACGCTCGTTACAGAAGCCTAGTAAGCCTTGAAGACGAAGAAGAAGGAATAAGGGTATCAACATATCTTGGATCTTGGGGAAGAGGATAAGGGCATAAGATTTAAAATTTAGAGTAAAATCCCCATAATCATACTCCCCCATACTTATTAAAAATACCCTCTTCAAGTGTCGACGCAATATATGGATAGACCCTTATGCTAATAATGTTTGTTTGCTCATAGTATTGGTAGATAAAAAATTTCATGTTTTTTTGTTTTGTCACTTGCACTACTTTCCTTACCTGCTCAATTGTAGGATATTTGAAATTTTTCTTACCATAATCATTGAATTTGGCGCTATTCGGCCGAATAACTTCGTTCTTTGCGGAAACATCTTACACAATTGCGGGTCACTTGCCGGATGGTTGAACGGGCGCTCAGCAACCAATACCTCTGGCGCATAGCAGCAATCAAGCCATTTTGCCCAAGGTGCAAATGCTCGATGTGCATTGTGCGGATTAGCTGCTTCGTCAGTGGATGTCTGTTCGGAAGGATAATCGGATTCTTCGTCTCGACTCGAAGCAATCCATCCACACGAACACTGGATTCAAGCCTCCTAGCTTGCGGCACGGTTTGTTGGTTTGGACACGACGTATTTCGTCAGCTAGCTCTGACTGTTGAACCATCCTCATAATGGTGAAATTCGATCGACGGAGTTCGGAAATAGTAACGTACCGGTTGAAGATACGTTGTGACCTGTTCTTGGTGCGGATGTTGGCGATGAATCGAAGTACCAATGCCATGATGCGTTCGATCTTCCTGAAGTCACTGAAGCGGGAAAACAGTGGAAACTGTTCCACCACAGCCGAAGTGACAATTTCGGTGCTTGTCATTTCGGGAAGCTGTTGGTCGGGGATATCGACTAACTCCTCTTCGTCGTACTCGAGTTTCGTGAGGAAACTTGGTCCGGTCCACCAAAGATTGTTTCTGCGCAAATCGTTTGGTAGCTGACCTCTGGACACGATGTCTGCTGGATTATCACCAGATCGGATGTAGCACCAGCGATATCCTGCAGTGGAGGTATTGATTTCGTGAATTCGGTTTCGGACAAAAATCTTGAGGCGATTGGCTGATCGTTTCATCCACGCCAGAACGATTTGACTGTCCGACCAGAGGACCACGTCACGGAATTCCATTTGCATGGCTGGGATAATCCTCTGAATGAGTCGAGTTAGTAGCAATGCGGCACACAATTCCTTTCGAGGCGTTGAAAGTTCATGTAGTGGAGCAACCTTGGACTTGCTACTCAGCAACTTCATCTTGGCGGAACCGTTGGAGAACAGGCTTCGAACATAAACACATGCACCATACGCCAATGATGATGCGTCGGCAAAACCGTGGATTTCGTAGGACACGGCGTCGTGGAATGTAACTCTTCTTGGTATGGCGATTTTGTCGAGTGCTGGCAAGGTATTTGCAAATTCAACCCATCGCTCCTGTATCGAGTCGTTGACGGGCTCATCCCAGCCAATCTTGTGCTTCCACAGCTGTTGCACTAGTAGCTTGGCGACGACAATCACTGGTGACACAAGTCCTAACGGGTCAAAGAGCTTGGCCACCTCGGAGTAGATGATACGCTTCGTTGATCGTTGATTCAAATCACATTGTGGCGGCCTTGCGATGAGGAAATGATCGGCTTTTGGATCCCAAAGCAAGCCTAGCACTTTGATGACTCCATTCGGTCCGTATTCTCCCAATGGAACGGGCTGTTCCAGTCGATCGTTTGGAATGTGGTCCAAAAACTCGTTTGAGTTGGAACACCACTTGTGCAGCGAAAACCCTCCTCTCTTCAGTAAGCCTTCCAGCTGCCTTGCTGCTTCTAGGGCCTCCGGAAGTGAATTTGCACCGAAAAGTGCATCGTCGACGTAAAAATCTTCCTTGGCGATTTGCGCACCGATCGGAAAATCGGTTGATTCATCATCGGCGAGCTGCTGCAAGCACCTGGTAGCTTGGAACGGAGCCGATGCTGTTCCATATGTAACCGTCGTGAGCTCCAAGACTCGGAGTGGCTCTGACGGCTGCTCACACCAAAAAACACGGAGATAGTGTGTGTCCCTTGGATGCATCTTGATTTGTCGATACATCTTCGGCACGTCGGCTGTGAATGCAACTGGGTACTTGCAGAACCTGAGTATGACGTCATAGAGTTCTTTCTGTACCACTGCGCCGACTTGTAGAACCTCATTGAGTGAACGGTTGTTCACTGTTGGTTTGGCGCTGGCATCAAATACCACCCTGCACTTGGTGGTCGAACTTGATGGGCGAAGTACCGCATGGTGCGGCAGGTAGTAGTTTTGCTGGTGCGGTGGATCGTCTTCTTCTCGTACTTCGTGGCAGTGTCCCAGCTCTTCATACTCACGCATGAACTGAACATACTCCTCTTTCAAATCGGGGTTCCGCTGCAGCCTCCTCTGCAGCATCTGGAATCGCTTCAAAGCAACCGCTCGGCAGTCACTAAGCTCGTGCACGTTATCCTTGAACGGTAGCCTCACTTGGTATCGTCCATTTTCATCACGCTGGTGGGTGGCGACGAAATGGGCTTCACACTCCTGTTCTTCCTGTCAGAGGACTCGAATCTGGCACCTCTTCGAGCCTCCAAAATCGTTGAATGGATTCCTCGATGTCATCCAACGATACGATGAGCGAATGTTGTGGTTGATTGGCGTGGATCGTGTTAGTGAATACACCGCCTAAAACCCATCCAAGGCAGGTTTTACGGAGATCGGGAAGGCTGTCGTCGAGTTTGATATGTCCTGGTCGCATCAACTTGAAGAATAACTCTGCACCAAGAAGCATATCGATCTTGTCCGGTTTGTAGAATTCCGGATCGGCTTTGGACGCCGAAGGGAATGTTCCAAGATGACACGTCGATTCTTGTTGGCGGGATGACACCTGTCACATTGGGCGTAACCAAACACTCCACGTGTGCTTGGAAGTCGGTGAGTCGAGATCGGATGTTGACCATCACCTTGTCGTGGGCTACAGTCCTGACGTCGTTGATGCCACAGATTGGAACGTTGACACGATGCTTCTGAATTCTTAAAAGATTTGCAAAATTGTTTGTTACGAAATTTACCTGAGAGCCGCTATCTAGCAGTACTCGGCATGAATGCAGTTGATTGTTTTCGTCCAGCACGTTGACAACCGCTGTCAGCAGGAACACAGTTTTCGTGGAATCGGCGTAGTTACACGAGCAGGATGTGCTCGGTATATCTCTTCCGGATAGCGGGTTTGCTACCGTGCTGTTCGGTTGAACTGTGCGGGACTCTTCTTTCGAAACGGACACGTTGGCTTTCGGTTCTCGGTTTACCTCGTCGTTGTGGAGTTGTGTATGATGCCGTTTCTGACACTTTTGGCAGCACCTCGGTGATTAACACTCCTTGGAGCTGTGCCCCTTGCGCAGACAGTTGAAACACACACCAGTTGTGCGTACCTTCTCCATACGTTTGTCAAAGGACATGTTACCAATCGCATTGCATTGGTAGTTGCGATGTGCACCTTGGCAGAAATCACAAACCTCCTTGCTGATTGGTGTGGTTGCGGCGGCATGGACCTTCGGGTTGCTTGCTTTCGGTTGGAATGCTTGTACCTTCGGGGTCGATTTGGAAGCGGGCTGCGCATTAACCTTCTGGAAAGCTGTTTCGCAGTTCTCCAACATTTCACATCTCGATTGCAGGAACGTAATGGTTTGCGCATACTTGGGTAGCACGCCCTTCTTCTGTGTGCCTTCCCATGCCATCCTGGTCGTGTTGTCCATGGCGGTCGTCAGCATATGAACCAGAAACAAATCGGAAATACCGAGGAATTCCTGTTCAAGATACTTCAGGCTCTCGACGTGGCGGGTGCACTCATCGAGCAGACGTCGCACCTCCTTGTGGGATCCGGATGACATTCCTTGCAAGTTGAACAGACCACGAACGTGCGTCTCGACTATGATCCTTTTGTTTTCATAGCGATCGGTGAGAATGGTCCACGCTTGCTGGTAATTACCTTCGCTGATATCTTTGGCATCCAGAGCACCTGCTGCTGCACCAACCAGAGCCTTGTCCAGATGATACAGCTTGATCGCGTTCGAGTCTCCTGAGTTGGCCATCAAGTCTTGGAATATGGCCTTGAACTTCGGCCAGTTGGCATAATCACCATCGAAGGTTGGAATTGGAGCCTTCAACGGTTGCTGTTGGACGATGATTTGTTGTTGCGGGGCTTGAGCACGAACACTGGCATTTTCGTGTGCCATGATTAGCTCATCGATGGTCGTGCGGACGAAGTTGTATCGGTCTTCAAATGCGACATAAACTTCCTCCTGCTGTTGAAAACTTTCTTGGGGAATGATAGCAACCAGTTTGCTATGCACTGCGCTGTATTCGTTGTAGGCCACATCGATATTCTTCATGTACGTCCTGAGTTGTGAGAGGCTCACCAAGTTTCGAGCGGCAACAAGCGCCCTTTGCACACGCACTACTTTCATGGTGACCTGGTCTCGCTGGCGGGAAAGCGACGTTATTTCCTTCACGGTTTCGGAATCAGCACTGATTTCCCATTCTGCAAATCCTTCGAATATTGCTGACTCGTCGTGCTGCTTCTCCTTGCCTGTGCCCTCAACTGCTTCCTTAGCAGCAGGCTTACCTTTCGGGGTTCGATCCACTGGCATAATGAACTCGTTGTCACGTCGTACGTTACACACAGCACGAGTACGTATGGTTTCGGAATAGCGGTTCTGTAGAAAAATCCTTCGGCGGGCGGGTTGAAACTTGCGAATCGGATTCGCAAGCGGCGGTGATCAATAATTGATTCCTCTCCTGGCGGTACACGTCGTGGTTGGCACACCACGGAAGCGTGTCGGAATACACTCGGTCGAGTGGCGATGGTGTCGAATCCTTTCCTACGGGCGGCGCTGGATCCGGCTCGAAGGACCACTATGTTGGCGCGTTTACCGTGGCCAACTCCGGTGGGTTGGAAGTGGACTGTATTTCGTTCGGATTGAAAGATTCAACACACTAATCAAATTATCACCTTAACACTACTTTTATTCTAACTAGTTCACTATTTCTCTACAGATTGCTTTCTTACTTCACTGGATGTAACTTGGATGGTGGTCGAAATAATACTCAAAAAAACGCTGGCTGGCTGTGTCGCTTTTATAGCAGTCGTCCTATCGTATTTTGCTACTTTTGGTCCTATATACTTGCCTGCCGTGCGCTACGGCGAGCAGCAGGCAGCAGCATGTTGAAGAGAAGTATATAGTGCTTCTCCCTTCTCGTTCGGTGTCCTTAAAATTCTACCTGGAGTGCGTTGTTGCCACGATGGGTGGTTTAAATGACGATCGTTTGCGTTGTGTTTTGGAAGCTACTATAGCTTGTTTCGCACGGAACAGATTTGATAATTCAGCCGATGAGGATTTGGCCGTTAAATGCATGCTCGATGAAAAACATGCTAGTGTTATGTTTGCTTGTCTCTGATTTTACCATGATGATTTAGAAAAAAAAAATCTTTTTACACATTTCCCTCATAATCTCAGGAATTATCTGAGCTGTTTAGATGTTTGATAAATTTTTTAAAATAAAATGTCGGTGTCGGTGGTGTGGTAAGTGTCTCGTTAAGATTTTGAAAGCAACTGGGTTTTTAAGGGTATTAAGGTTAATACATATTCGTAATATGCATTAAAATGGAACCGAAATCCAAAATTTCGTCAATTTTAGTGCACTGGAACTATTATAAATAAGTGCGATTGACTACATTAGAAAAAATCGCCATCTTAGCACACCTTGGTGGGGCTTTATATGGGAGCTAAAAAACCGACCACAAATTCGTCGGATGAGTCAGTTAGTACTTTTAATAATTTATTTGTTTGTCAATATCAACAGGTTCAGTGCAATCCCAATGATGGTTTGCCTTCTTTTGAAGCCAGCAGTGAACCTGTTGATACTTGCACTATGTTCACCTCCTACTTATATCGAATCTGTGTGTCGTTATATTTTTCCAGTCATTTACAGGTCATGCCAAAGCATCGTCAAAAGGGTTACGGAGAACTACTAGCCAAGGCAATTACCAAAAAAATTGCTCTCGAAGATGGTGGAACTGTAAACTTGTTCATAGTTGATAAAAATGTAAACTCTATACACTTGTTTACCAAACTGGGATACAAATTGATAGCTGGCTCCAATTGGATTCAAGCTAGGAATATTCAATAGAAAGAAGAATTAACATAAAACCCGCTTTAACTATAGATGTAATCAATTGGAAGGATTGTGATAAATCAACTACTGAAGGGTGCATTATTTTGTTGGATAATTCATTCTTTTCAAAAGTATGCTTACAAATAAACGTGTTACCTAACTTACTGTTTAGAATGTTCCTCGTACCGATTCTAGTCCAAGAGCCTCCGCCATGCAGCATATTGTTGCAGTAGTCAGTTCAGGGTATTGTTCTTTCATGCCACAGACAAACTGCAGGTAGTCTGTCTGACCGATTCTTTCCAGCACATCATTACTAAGGATTCTATTAGGTAAGTCATAGAATGTCATTAGCCTGACAATCCGCGACCGACCATCATCGCATAGTTCGGACAACAACTCGGCTAGAGGGCGTTCCGACGGGACGCCTACAACGTACGAACGAATCAGGTGGTTACTTTCCTTCAATATTTGCTCCATACGTAGGCGAATGCGATCGACCAACGATTGTAACATATCTTGCGATATAAGCATGTCGGATTCAGCTATTGCTCTTCGCCTGGCAATGATAGAAGCGATTATACGGAACTGCCATAGTTCGGAGGAATTGCAAGATGATTTAAAATTGATGATGAACTGGAATGGGACAAAAAGGAATATTTTTGCATCAACTCAATGGCATAAAACTATGATGTCTTACATTCATCAAATCCATGAAAATCGTCAATCCGTGCATTTTGTCATGCGTGATACAGTCGTACGTTTGTAGCATTAGCATTTGGATCACACTTCGTTCCGCCGCGGGTATCGATTCGATTTCGTCGATTTCACTGTGTTCCGCAGTGAGCAAGAATTTAGTTGCTATATTCGAAATTCTTTGATCCGTTGAGAATGCGAGCAAGCCGTTTGCGTCGATTTTCCATGAGTTGTATTTACTGGTCGTCAGCGTTTGTGTTAGCATTGATTTTAGACGGTTAGGATCTTCTAAGTAGGATAGGCAACCAGCGCGTTGCTTCAAATCAATGCATCCACTAGCTTTGAGGATATTCCTGTAAAAAAAAGAAATGTTTTTCGAAATTTTCGAAAGAGAAATAATATTTAAAAACCCTATCAATCGTAAGTTAAATACTGGAATGAAGCTTTACATTGGAGAACTGTCGGCTTCGGAAACCTGTACCTATTATCGTCAGTGGGTTACCCCTACAAACTACTTGAGCGCTCAATTTGACCAATCAATTCTCTGAAACATGATGTATGCTAATGCAATAAAAAAATGAGCGCCCAAGGGCTTAATTTACCCCCGTTGATAATTGATAAGGATGCAGCATGCTGAAACAAAAGATTGTAGGTACGACATTTCGCAGAAATACATTATTTTGCAGAAAACTATTTGACGGAATGCTCCATCTCGCAGAATGCCATATTTCCCGGAATTTTAATTGGCGGAATACCCCATTTCCCCGCATTCTGTTTTGATTTTTATTTTTATTTGTTGGTGTCAAAATAAAGATAAAGATAAATTCAAAAGAACTACTCAAGTTTGAAAGACGGAAAATTTTTCTAAAATTATTAAATGCAGATTTAAACATTCCGCCAATGGAAATTCCGCAAGACAGGCTATTACGCCAAATGAGATTTCGCGAAATGGTTCATTCTTACAAATGGAAGTCCACGAAATGTCGTACAACCAAAAAATGAGTATAAGATCAAATACTTACTCTAAATTGTGCCAATTCTCCTGATCGAAGTACACATGCCAATAGTTGTGATCTTGCACGTACACCTTGCTGAGTGTATGAAGCTCTGGTAGCATACATGGAGCCATCACTTTAACCGGTTCCGTCTTGCCTTTTTCCAAGTAGTAGATTTCACATAAACACAACTTCCCGGTGTCTATGTCTCGTGGAAGAAATAGTCTTGGCTCGATTGCTAGCACGTACAGGTGTCGGAATGCTTGCAGATGATACCTATTATCATTGCTGTGAATGGGAAACTTCGGAAAGATTGAACATATCAGCGCGGCAATTGCCTCAGGCGAACGCGATAGTGTATAACGTCCGGCACCGAGGAACAGAAATCCTAATGCCATGTGGACTGCCATATGAGATCCGTACGTGACGTGGCATTGTCCAAATCTGGATCGCAGCATTCTGATTGCCCGCAGTACCCTTACGTCCCCGGTACCGGCTTGTACCAGGGATACCGAGAGTAAAATCATCATTGTGCAATTTTCAAGTGTTTGTTTACCGGCAAAGTCTCCGAAAGGTCGACCATTGAGTCCAAGGATGTATTTAAGCAGGAAGTGCAATGTTGTGAACGCGCGCTCATCTGCCGTTCCGGCGTATTTTAGGCCAATACAGATAGCGGCCCCGCAGACGATATTGCAATAGGCCTGACATTGCGCTTCATGGTCCGTCGGTTGCGCTTGATGATCAGTGTAGAGCCGATTCCTAATCAATTCCGATAACGCTCGAGGAATTTGGCTGTAAACCCAGTCAGTAGAGGCATCGATTTCGTGCCACATGATAAGATTCTTGGCTACAATTCTCAAAAGCAACAGATCAGGACGAATAAAATCGAGCAGGTAGGTTGTATCGGGAGGTTTCATCCAGTTAGCGATTGCTTCATTTCCGGTGCGGAAATACATTAAACCTAGGGCAAGGGTAGCTCCAGGGGCTGTGACATCAATATTTACTGTATCACCTTCTTTGATTTGGAAGGAAGGCAGTTTGTATTTCTCCTTTTGGGCACCTACAAGGGGACGTCTGTTGCCTCCCACCATATAGTAGTGTAGAGTATCCGGGATATCTAAATCACGCAGGACAGTTGATTTCTCTCCTTGTTCTAGGGTTACCAATCCTAGCGCCAAGCCAGCCGTAAGGGCATACGATTCTCGTTCCACGTAGTTTTCCATTTCCGGGCCAGGGGGTCGTCCTATCTCCTGCAGTAGCACTTCCGCTATATGCCGTTTGGCTGTTCCTTGGTATACGAGCCCGATACCCATCAACGATGCTACTTGAATGTTTTGCGAAATATCCAACTCAACCGCAGTCGGAGGAAGTAACGCTTCTATGTGCACGCTTAGCAGCTTAGTTGTTTTTATGTCCATCGTACCCCGATGGGCAGCTGAAATGCCCAGTAGCAAACCCAAACTGATCATTTCGTCACATTTTACTAAATATTCATAGATGCTCATAAACGAAAGAGACTTTAGGTGACCGTTTAGCCCAAGTGCCATCAAGAAGCCGGCGTGTTCCGTTGGAATGTCGGAGACTCCTTTCGGTTTATTGTACGTAATCCAGGTGGAGTCAATCTCAGGCGTATCGGAACATATCCTCAGACCAGCTGCAACCCCGTTATGGAACGTTGGCCATAGATTCATGTTAGGAGGAACTTCCAGCTGCTGGATTTCAATTGTGGCACCTCGGTGTATCTCTTTGCCAGTTAAGCACAGTTTGGGAATGGGCAGCGTCTGCGTTGCGGTCGGGCGGCTGGCCCTCAAAGTGAACATACCACGGCCAATCGGGAGAGCCATTGTTCGAATACACAAAGCGTACAACTGCTTCTCTTGTTCCTCGATAAAATCATGATCCGAAACATTGGGAGCTTGCACGATATCGATTGTCACTGGTTGTGAACTGTTGAGGAACGATTTAACATCGTTGATCCTTAAATCATCTGGAAAACGCAATCTCAACAATTTTGTGTCGATATTTTCCATGCCGTTTTCCTCTTGTTTGGCTTCATTTTTCGGTATGACCTCTGGTTGAGTTTTTCGACGGAGCGAGAGGGAATTTTCCTTCAATCCACTGGTATGTTTTTTGCTTCGAACCGACTGATTTTGGGCATCGAATGTGGCATGAGCATACAGTTCCGGTCTGAGTAGGAGTTCGTAAACTTCCGCGTCATACATATTGATCGGTTTGTTGCGATTGGTTTCCAGAAACTGTGCTATCAGATAGTGTATACTTACGGGCAACTTTTCTAGGGTCAAACGATTGTATCTTCGCTTCATCAGCACTCGGATCACTACAGTAGCCATCGTTTTATCGACATCGTCCAGTGCAGTAACCTTCCAACTATCAAATAGATTCTCAAATTGTTTCGTTACCCATTTTGACAGACCTTTGGCCCGATAAAGATAAGCTACGATCAAAATTACATCTCGACTACGGCTGTTGATTCTTTCCATACAGGGATAGCTTTCCAGATCGGTTTTGTTGGGATTTGCAATCAACGCATGAACGTAGGGAAATATTCTGGGAATATTTTCAAAGTCAGCATCAAACAAGTTCACAAATTTGGTCTTAGCTTCTTCCTTTATAAAACAGCAGGACCGAAGATCAACCAAATGTTGGAAATCTAAAAAGTAATGCAGCTGAAACTTTTCCAGTTTTACATCCAACGACAGTTCGTACAGAAATTCGGCCAGCAATTTAAGTTCGATTCGCAGGAGGGGCTCTAGCTTTAAGTCCTCGTAGACCAAATGTAACGCATAAAGAATACTGGGGATGTGTTCAAACAGTGCTTTGTCTGATCCATAAGGAATCGGAGCGATTGCTTCTGTATCCTTGTCTGGTGTGTTGTTTTTTCCACTATGCCCAATCAAATACTCCCAATCGCTATCCGTTCCAAGGCAGTTTTCACTCTTACGCCGCTTCTTCGGTTCGTCGAATGACGATTTAGAATTGGATTTATTCAATCGGCTGTCAGGAGGCGGAAATGGCCTGCCCATTTGCTGGAACAGCATTCCACCAAAAGCATCCCATTCTCGATTCCCGTCGAAATCCCTCGAACCGGGTGCGTTCTTCGTGCCATACCATCGGATCATCAGGTCTAACGCTAGTTGTTTGGGAAGGGTCTCCCTCAGTGCCAACAAGCAGCGTGACACCAGCTGAGATTCGGTCATTATGGGTAATGAAATTCGGAACATTTTCTCACTGTTAAACACTAAAGTCAACCGATTTCCTGATCCATCTCTGATACTAGAACAATTGCTCAGTCGTGACGAGGTCGCTGTAGAGTGCAATGGT